ATATATATATTCTGAGAAAAATAGTATGGTTATATTCATAATTAAAATTCATTTTATGGCTAGGCATGGTGACAATGCCTATAATCCCAGCAACTCAGGAGGCTAACGCAGGAGGATCACAAATTCAAGGCCAGCCTCAGCAATGTAGCAAGGCCCTACGCAACTCTGTGAGACCCTATGCCAAAATAAAAAGGACTGGGGATGTGGCTCAGTGGTAAGGCACTCTTTGGTTCAATGAGCAGTACCAAAAAAAAAATTGCTTACCTGGTAATAAAGTGTTAGGATTAAAGCAGGGTATTGTCTTGGACTTCCCCTGGGGGGAAAAAAAATTTACTCCATGTCAATATAAAATTTCTAATTTTTAAAAAATAAAAATATTATTCGAACTAAAATTCTAGATTGAAGTCTTTTCTGAATGGCCTCATTGGGTCCCCTAGATTGTAGGTGTATCATTCTGCTTTCTCATCAGAACAAGATTGAGATGCAAACAAGACACTTCTACTCTGTGTCTATGGCTATTTTCTTCGCTATTGCAGTTCCGATTGCCCTGTGATTCCTCATGTGGACTTTACAATTGGTGTCCATCTGTCCCATATTAACTACTTTTTCTGCTTCTATCGCACTCATACCCAAGACTTGGTATAAAACACAGAGCCCTGGCTCAGAAACTTTCCTCTTGCCTGTTTGGAACACAGTTCCTAACCTCTTGGGCATTACAATCTGACACCCAACTTGTCATTTTGTCTCATGTGCATTTGAAAATTCAACTCTAAGAACTATTCTGGGTGATCTTCTCATCCAGAATGGGAGAGATGAAATTCAGATATGAATGTTCTATTCCAGTCAACTTTTTTCAAAGCAAGATTTAAATTTTAAGGGAAATATCTGCACCCTTATTCAACAGTTGACACTTATGATCCTTATTTTAAATTGTGTCATTCAAATGCTCAGGCCTCAGAGGCAGGAGGACAGTTGGATTTCTGTCTATTAATACACAAACAACATTGTAGAAGTTTCTTCCCTCCTTCATGGGATTATTTTATACTTTAAGGAATCTAGCCCTCTTTGTCCTACCCCAGATTCTGTATTCCATAATGACTGATGTCCTGTAAGCTAAATAAATGAGGGAGATTTCCTCAGTGCATTTCTACTGGAAAATATCAGTTCACAAAGTGTCCTCACCCTCTTTATACTTGTTTTCTTTTGACTAGTGTGGACTCCATCAGTAGCTGGGTTCCTTAAGAGCCCACCCAGCAGAACTTAAGGGAGATTCTCCCTGATTCAAGAGGCCCTGGAGGTGGTCTGAGAGATCTCTTATACAACCAGTCTTTCTATTTTCTTTCACATATCGCCTTACCTCATTTTGAATGTCTCGGAGGCTCTTTATCACAGCCTTCAGAATGACCTGTTCCTTCCCTATGCTAGTGGAGAACCACAGTCACACTTGATTCTCAGACTGATCTCATAATTGGCATTGGGTACTTGGAACCCCTAAGTCAAGCAAGCTCAATGCCTGCTCTATATCTCCAGTGGCCAAACAGGACTAAACTACTACCTGGCACAAGATTACTGACATTCAACTCAGCACAGGCATTGAAGGTCCTGTTTAAAACAGAGCTTAACTTCCCAGCAATGCTGTGTCATGACATTACAGGGTCATATTGATCTAAATCACCTTCTCTGGTATATTATCATATGGATTATGTGTCCTTCTATTACTACTATTATTATTGTTGTTGTTATTACTTAACATACATACTTTGAAGTCTGGTTCCAATTATTTATAATGCTTTCCTATAATACGTAACAGTAAGGGTTAACTCAGTAGGCCAAGGCTGCCCAAACCCTGCACATCCTGTCTTTAGTATTAGCCCTTGGTTAGCTCTTAGTAGAAAACTCCTGGGCCCTTGGGACATTCCACCCCATAAGAGACCTGGAGAGCCTGGGTCTTGCTGTATTTATGGTGAACTCCTAATGATGCCTGGAGCCTTGGGCCAAGTTGCACCAGTGTGAATAGACAGGTTTGTCCTGCCCATATAATTTATGGATGCCTGGTTTTCCTAGGGTGTGGGGAGGAAGCCTGGAGTTTGATGAGCTGAAGTGGTTAGGTAAGCCCTTCATGCTTACCTGACCAACCCCTAATAAAAGCTCTAGATGCCAGGACTCAGGTGGGCTTCCCAGTTTGGCAACATAATATGCACCTGACGCATGGTTGCTGGGAGAACTGGGGCATCCCCGTGAGACCTTCTTGGGAGGGGATACCTGGAAGCTTCTTCAGGTTTCCCCTGAACTTTAGCCCACCTGTGCCTCTGCCCTTTACTTAGATTTGAACTGTAACTTTGCACTTTTATATCCCATAAATAGAACAGCTTTTCTGAGTCCTGGGGATTCTAGAGAATTATCAAGAGTTGGTCCAGGGGCCTCTTAGACACGAGAGTTTCTGTTTTAAAGAACAACTTACCTTATACTGAATATCCTGGAGAATCTCAGTCACAGCCTTGAGCCCAACATGTTCCTTCCCTATCTGAAATGTATAAAGCATAAACCACAAACACAATATTTTAAAATCCTTTACTTTTATTCAAAATAGTAACCAAAAGTGAGGTTCCAATCCACCTGCATGTCCTTTCTGGGGAATTAAATGACCTTTCCTTTTATGGCCAGGTCAACATCTACTTAAGGTATTTGAAGTTGTAACAGCTAGTACAAGAAAGTAAACTAGCTATGATACCCAAGAACCCATTTGGCTTCATATTTCTATGCACAGGTGTCACTCACTGTGCCATAATTCAAATACTAAATTAAACAAGACTATTATATAAAAGTGTCAAGCCTATATTTTAATTAAAACCACTCAGTACATATCCAAACTCTTGCATTCTTGCCTCTGGTGTTTATAGATCATTATTATAAATATTTCTCAAAGTTGAAATTTTTTTTGAAGAGTAGGTATGTGATGTTCTATATTAAAGTTACCAAAATCAAGACGTTTCTTGATTACCACTGATCATAATTGTTATAGCCATCATTTTATTTAATCTTAAGAATATGCTTTCAATAGCTTTCTATTATGAAATAGCACATATCCTTGGTATACAAAGTACTCCAAAGAAATTTGAGATTTGAACTATTTTTTTTTTTTATATTTAGTGTCCTTGATGCTAACTTTGCAAATCTGAAGTGCCAGCTGATTCACACTTCCAAAGCTTTCAGTGGTCCATGACAATGGAGAAAGTAAGAGCAGAGATCACTTATCACCTCAGGAAACAATCACTGCTATCCCTCAGCTTCTTCTCTTCCACATACATTTTTGAAGAATGACCTATGAGAAGCTGGACTAACTTTCAACATGCACACATTTTCTATTTTTCTCAATATCAACCGACTGTAAAACATGCTAGGGGGGGAAACAAAAAGACAAGAAAAGCCTAACATAAGATAGGTCAATCTGTTCAGTGTAATCAGATTCCCATTATTTTTGAAGTGTTTGCAATTCCTGAAATAGGTTCTAAAAACAGAAAATAAATTTCATGAAGTTAACAAAAGAAGAAGAAAAAGAAAAGAAAAATGTCCCCATGAGTGTAGGAGGCTGGATCTTAGGCAAAAGCCTTCACCCCGTCTTCAGAAGAAATGGACCCTCCTCGTCTAACTGGTTTAACTCGTAGGCAACATTTGGATGCCTGCACCTCTGGCCGTGGTCTATTTTCATTTCATGCAGCTCCTGCCAGACCATGAACTCTTTGAGAAGATTCCAATCTGAGTACTGTAAGGCCACATAACAGTTTGTCAGGAGTGAGCTCCCTCGTGTTGGACTACCTGGATTCTTATCACAACCCTGCCACTTTTTGGCTATGTGACTTTGGGCAAATGTGCTTAGCCTCACCAGGCACAGTGGTGCATGCCTGTAATCCCAGCAGCTGGGGAGGCGGAGGCAGAAGGATCATGAGTTAAAAGCCAACCTGAGCAACTTAGCGAGGCCCGAAGCAACTCAGTGAGACCCTCTCTCTAAAAAAAAAAAAAAAAAAATGGGTTGGGGCACATGTGGTTCAGTGGTTAAGTACCACTGGGTTCAATCCCCAGTACCAAAACAAAAAAAAACAAAAAAGAAAAGAAAAAAAAGAAAGAAACGTGTGTGTACATGTACTTAACTTGTATATCCTTTGTCACTCATAAGTGGGGAGGATAAAGTGATAGGGTTGAAGGTCAGATCAAATCAAACAACTTGGAACAGTGCTTAGTGCACTATCATTCAGTTAATGTCACTCATTATCCTGCTTAACCTGCATGGTGTTGTAGAGCATCAAATAGATTTTACATATAGTGGCATTTCATAACTATTCGTGGCTCTTTCTATTCATGAAGATTCTTCACTTTACAAGCAAAACTTTATATCCTGCAACAAACTCCAGCTGTTGCTCAATCACCTTTCTTCTTTACCAAATAAATTCATATGTGAAAAAGTCATAACCACCAAAATCCAAGTACACATGACAGTTTCCACACCCAACTGCTAAAATCCTGCAGCAGCTCCTGTGCCAACACAATCCGGTGAGTCCTCCAGGACCGTGAGATCTGTCACTTTCTTACCTCTCCCCTTTGCCATCTTTCACCACCACCAAAAATACCAACCACTCTCGTGAGCCTCTTCTCCTGGAATTGAAGCCCTGTTTCATCTTTTTTTTTTTTTTCCATTTCTGCCTCACTCTTGCCTTATTTCTCACTGTGCTCCCTGGACTCAGGATGGCTGTCTTTGACAAGCTCTCCTACCACCTCCTGGTCTATGAGAACCCCTTGGGTGTGTCCAAGGTGCAGCTCTCAGGCCTTTCCAGTAAAAACTGGGCAGCCTCCCAGGATGGAGACTATGGTCAGTGCCCTTCAGTGTAGTATCTCTGACCTGCATGCACAAGGCTGTCCTTCTCTGAGTGGACTGTCCTCTTCTGATGGTATATATGCTACAAGAAAGCATATTTGAAAGGACTCGATGCTCAACTCTTTTTGGAAAATTAAGTAACTAAAACCATAGCATTAATATTACGACTGTAATCCAGTTTATACAAGAGGCAACCTACAACCATGCAGAGTTGGCTCTCTGAGTTTCGGTGCAGATTGGCAGAATACATTGTTGTGTGACTAAATAATTATTTGACCTCTCTGAGCCTTGATGTCTCTTAAGACTGGTGGTCAAGGGATGTCTAAAATTTCCATGATGTCTTTTACCTCTAAATCTTTTATCATAGATGATAAGAGAAAATTAAAAAGATTCACCTCGGTAAAAACTGGATTAAAATTTTATCTATGTGAACATATGGTCCATTTTTGTATGTTTGGCTAAATTTATACACAATTCTTTGCCCACCACACAGCTCAAATCTAAAATTTATGTTAGCTAAATCTTCCATCATTTGCAGTCTTATTTTATCAGTGTTTTCTATAAAGAATTTCAAATCATCTTCAAGTGAAAATTATTAATAATGAAGAGATAAAGTAATCCACTACATGATTATATTATTGATTTTTCTTAGATTTTGCAGTAAGCTGGAGTCTAAAAACATTTTCTGAAATGCTTTTTCATAAATAAAATGAATTCTGCCTTCAGGAGACATTTTCAAAATCATTTCTCCAAAGATGCTGAATGCCGCCCTGTAGAAAATTTCTAATAAATAAATGAACTCTTTTCTATCAAGGAATATGGCTGAACTCTCATGAACTCCAAAGATCAAGTTTTCTATTTTTACATTATTGGTGTTCTCTGTAAAGGTGTTTAATTTCACCTCGAAGTAATAAAACTGGGAGAGAATGGAAAACCATCTTGCAAAATGACTTAGAAAGCAGCAGCTCTGAACAGCACAATAACCACTGCAGACCATTTACCTGAACGAACAAGGCGATGATGGCGATTCCGTGCGGCTTCCCCACAGCCTCGTCGATGCTGCCAAACAGAGTGGAGTTCCAGTGGATCAGATGGAGCTGGTGGGCAACAATGCACAGGTTACTTCTAATGTCCTTCTCTTCAGAAAAATAAAGCCACATCACCGACTTCACTACATCTACATGGTCTTCTATACAACAAGGGGGTCACCAATGTACACAGGCTACTGCCTCCATAGGAGGTCTCTGGAGGAATTCCCTCCTTTACCTCTCTGAACAGAAGCAACAGGTCACCGCCTCTTGAGTTCTCAGTTTTAGTCCTAACTTAGGAGAAGCTCAGTGAGGGAGACTCACTGATTTCACATAGAGTTAGTGTCTTTCCTTAAATGACATTCCCTCTGGAGCTCAAAGAAACAAAACTCCAGGTCTGGACACAAACACTACTCACTCGAAGGATGGGTACCCACATAATCAAACACAGCATCACCAACCCACAGTACTTCCATCAGGAAATTTGCAAAGCCACTCTCAAGTTCTGGTAAATTATTTCAACTCTAGGACTATCCAAAGATAACATAAGATAGAAAAAAATTTAAGTACTGCCCTCTGTTCAAGTATTCCATAGTAAAATAATACTGATGTAAATCTCCAACAGAAGTTCATTTCCTACAATTGGGATAAAATTTTATCTATGAAGAAAGGACAATCAATGCTCAAGGTCCCTTCCTCCTAACCTCATACAGCTTTGCAGCTTTCAAGCTGATCTAGAATATGCACTTGTTCCTACAGCAGCGATAAATACTTGCAAGAAGCCACATCTAGTTCCCACACTAAAAAAATCAAATGGCCACAGAGATTCTTGGTATGACAGCAGCTAGCTAAAACCTTGTGCCCACCCACTTGAATCAAAGTGTGAAATATGATATATCAAGAAATTTGTAATGTTTTGAACAACCAACAATAAAAAATTAAAAAAAAAAAACCTTGTGCCTAGAATACCATCTTCAGTAGTATACCTTTTCATCAAACTAATTCCTTACCACCTTAAAACTTTGTCCCACATTTAAAAACTAGTTCTTAATTTAAAAAGACATAGATAAAACTCAATATTTATGTATTTAGAATCTAATTTTTTTAAAATTAACACACAGACTGTCAAAACTTTGATTTTTTTTTTCACTGCTGAATTTGTCCAAATAGAATCTGAGATTATAAAACTGACCACTAGAGGGAGGTAAGAAAGTCCAGCATAGAAACAGCAACCCAGGAAAAGAACACACCAAGACCAGGCTGCCTGGAAAGCTCACAGGGTCTGAAAGCAGCCAGTAAATGCTAACTGTCAAGGCACCGCCTTCAAGATAACAATGTCCTATGACTTCTCAATTAATAATAAAAGACTAACTTTATTATTTCCTTCTCTGGCAGCAACAATAGCACAGAAGTCCTTGTGGTACAGATAAGAACTGACTGCTTTCATTAAATCAACAAAGAAGGTCTAGGCCCAAGGTTGAGTTGTTGTGTTTTGTTTTGTTTTTTTCCCCAACAGATGACAAAATTCAAACTGACATTTTTCTTCCTTCTCATAGCAATATTATGGGTTATTTTTTTTTCTTTTTCTGAAACAACACATTAACAAACCAAATAAATAAATAAATAGAGCAAGCGTGTTTTCCCACACACACACCATTCCTCAAATCTCAAAACCTTGGATTATCCAAATCTACTTCTGTTCTCCTGTTGCCCCTTCCTTGTTCCTATAATCTTATCCCGTTTTGCCTTTTGTTAGTATTGGTTCTGTTCCATAAAGTAGAGCCACTGAGGTAGGAAAATCACAAGGGCATACAAAGAACTCTGAGCACATGTCTAAGCCTGTCCCTGACAAGAGATGACGCTTCAAAAGTAGAAAGGTCAGAGTGCTCAAAGCTTTAATTCTGTCATCATTCGATTTTGGAAAACACTAAAGCAATATACGATTGCAGTGAGTATTATTACTTATGCTGCTTAGTATTAGTCAAGCTTCCCCATGATAACCTCCTTCCTTTCAAAGTTTCTTTTTGGAGAATGGGGGATGGATTAGAGGTCAGAATATAAGCTAGGAAGCTGCCAGAGAGTATCAGTTGAAAAACTAAGATAGGGATATGGGATGATAAATGTTATGTGTTAACTTGGCTAGGCTATAGAACACCAGTCTAGATGTTGCTGCGAAGTTCGTTTTTAGATATGATTAGCATGTAAGTCAACAGACTGAGTAAAGTTGACTGTAATCCATTTTATGGGTAAACCTCATCCAGTTGAAGGCCTTAGCAGCAAAGACTGAGGTCCCTCAAAGAAGAGAGAATTCTGTCTCCAGAATACAAGATCAAAATTCCCCCCAGACTCTCCAGCCTTCAAACTGCAACAACTTTTGCATGGATTTCCAGCCTCAGCCATAAAATCAAATGGACCAGCTCCTTAATTTAAATCCCAATCTTTTTTATTCCTCCCCCAACCCTCCTGTTTCGCTGAAGCACCCTGACTAATACAGCTTGTGTAAATAAAAATGTATGAAGACCCATGTGAAGTAGGATAAAAGAAAATAAATATAGGTAGAAAGAAGGAAAAAGGAATGAGGAGGAGACTATAACTTTAATCTGAAAGCCTTGTGCTGAAGTTCTTCATATCTTCACTGCCAAACCTAGTTTTTCCCCAGACCTGTCACTTCCAAATTGCTGGGAAGTCCACAAATCTTCACTCACAATCTTAAAGTTACTAGAAATTGACCCACTTACAAAACCTTGGATTATCCAAATCTGCTTCTGTTCTCCTGTTGCCCCTTCCTTGTTCCTATAATCTTATCCCATTTTGCCTTTTGTTAGTATTGGTTCTGTTCCATAAAGTAGAGCCACTGAGATAGGAAAATCACAAGGGTATACAAAGAACTCTGAGCACATGTCTAAGCCTGTCCCTGACAAGAGACTGGACGCCCCCCACCTCCCGCCACCAATATCGTCACTTTCCTGTGCACTGTAATAAGCCCATGAATACATGTGTTTTTAGGATAGACTGAACGAACAGATACAAACCCAGGGTTCTTACCCAATGTATCTATTGATCAGATAATGGAGAGGATGTCAACCTAAGGATCCTGAGAATTTCCAGGTCACTATAAACCATCTATGATCACCAGACTGATGACATTCTTATCTCAGGATGGCAGGTCTTTGATGCAGCTCATCCTGGATACTTCCCATGCACACGCCTCCCCAAGCTTCCTTTCAAAGAAGAGCCCAAGACCCCACAGCACTGCTCTCTAGAGATGGCCCATGTTCTCCTGTGGATGCATCCTCCTTTCTTTCATAATAAATCTATTTGTGCCTCCACCTGAAATTATCTTCTATAATCTATGTCAAGGGCCTGGCCATCCTGAGCAGAGGTCCCCTCTTTGGGGCCGCTTCAGACCCTGAATTTGGTGGCAAATGCAGGTCCAATCCTGAAGAAGGCTAAATATACAGGAAGGGAGACAAAGGCCCCTAACAATTAAAGTGAACATTTGGTCATTATTTCCCTAAGACTAGACTGAAGAATCAGGGGACAAAAATCCCTCAAATGATCAGAAGGAACATGTCAGACCTTCTACTTTATTTCTATGAGATGCCTTTTATTTCAATTTTCCTTTGCTTCACAAAACACATAATATGTATAAGAGTGGCCCCCCACCTCCCGCCACCAATATTGTCACTTTCCTCAGTTAGATACCTGCAGTCAAAATATTCAATGGATAAGTCAAAGGAAAAAAACTCATAAGAGTTTTAAATAAATAGTATATTATTATAGTTGTTCTTTTATTAGCTTTTATTAATCTCTAACTCTGCCTAATTCATAAATTAAACTTTATCACAGGTATGCATGTATAGAAAAAAACATAATACAGACAGGGTTTGGTACTATCTGTAGCTTCAGACATTTACTGGAAGTCATGAAAAATATCCCCTTTTGAAATAGGGGATTGTTCTATACATATTAATGCAGGGACATATTATTTTGAAATATAGTCATAGTAAGGATATCTGCTCCAAAGTTTATTCTAATGGAAATGGTTAAACAAGGACACATGGAGACAAATTCATGGGAACGGAAAAGCATATGATACTAAGGATATGGTTCAGAAAACAATGAAGCAAAGTCCAAGAGAGGGAAGCAGTCTTCCCAGCCGTCTCCAAGCAGATGGCTATTACCAGCCAAGGGGCCTCAGAGGACCGGCTTCAAAGCCCAACAGTGCAGACTGGCTCTGGGGCGTGGCTGAGCTAGGGCAAGCTGAGTGCAGAGGCGGCCACACTGCACACCTTCGCAGATCCACTGATGATTCTCAGAGGCACTGCGTGCTCACAGAAGACCTCCAAGCTAGGAGTCACAGGTCCCTGATTCTCATTTCACTTCCACAACTCTTTATCTCTGTGAACTTCAGAGTCACTACCTCCTTTGAACATCCATCTCTGGAGCACAAGGAGAGCAGCATCTCATAAGCTCAGACTGTTCACGCCCTGCTTGTCTTCCTCCGGTACTCTCTTTATCCCTATATTCCTATCACATTTTGCTCACAATAGCATTAGCTGTATGTAGGCAGCCAAGAAATGCAAGCTGGGGAATGCAACGTGAGGAGGGAGGGGGCTAGCCAAGCATGCCCACGCTGCTTGCTGTTGCTAAGGAGTCCAAGGGTTGGATGGTGTTATCACTGTCTCCAGACACAGCCCACTGTGCAGGGCCACCTAACTGCTTGAGGGGCCACAGAACCAAAGATACCCCCAGACAGGACTCAGCTTCACCAAGGCCATCAGGAGCCTGGACCATCTTTGCCCTGTGAACAGAGTATAGCAGGTACCGAAGGGCTGCTGAGTCCTGCAATAGCAGTGGTTGAGAAATGCGGGGTGAGATTTCTACAACTGAACCATCAGCAGGGCCCATACTCCCCAGTGACTCTCTCTCAAAAGGCAGACATTTTGGCTTCCTTCCAAAATGGGCCTGTCAAAGAAAAAGGGGGTTTTCTCTAAATTAGCCACGCCTTTCCTCACTCCTTACCACCTCTCTCCCCACCCTCCTCATCTAACCCCAGCTTCACCATGAGGAACGCGTTACAAAGAAGCAATGATGTTGCTAGCATTGACTGGGATAACCAGTCACAGTGC